TACTTCCCAACAAAAAGCCATAATTTTTGGGGGGATTGGCCTACACCAAATTTCTTTTGACGAAAAGGGTTGGTGAGTAGAAAGTTGAGAGATGGACTTGAAGAAAGAAGCACAAGAGAAGGTTCCATTGGGTCTAGGAGTCCAAACTCTCTTATCTGGCTTGGAGGGATCAATGAGGAAAGTTTATATTAAATCCCTTCACAAAATCCACAATCAAAAGATAAACAATATCTGATCATGATGATTATTTGTGAAGGCCCTCTCTTATGCAGATATCAGGTACAGAGAAAATATATGTTCTTTTATCACATAAAATCTGTGACACCTGGATCTTTAATCCACCCCACTTTACCATCGTCGACATGGAAAAATGGGTGAAGATACAGGATCCTCTTAAAACCTTGAAATCGAATCCCAAATTTAGAAGGTTCAACTTTATATGTGGCTTTGTACTTAAATATTTTAAGAGGTGCACAGACATATATGGGAAGCAGTTCTCGCATGTGATAAAAAATGTACATGCAAATCTTCTAAAGAACTACGAAAAGAGAACAGACTCAATTAGAAACCCAAAATAACCCCTCATGTTTATCACTCAATCAAAAATGGCATATGAATTATGAGCCAATGAGCACTAAAAAAGAAGGGGCAATGTTCACACTTGATCATCACTTAAGAAAACATTTTAACTTTTAAGATGGCCAAACAACCACTGCTTCTAGTAATATCCAGATGTTCTTGGTCCAGATGAACTACAAAGATTATCTGACAGCAAGCGTAAGCAACACCTTTTTTTCTCATTTTACCAACATGAAATAATGTCCATTGGACAAAACTAATTATATTAAATAATATCCAATGTAAACTCAAGGCAACACCTAATATTGTTTAGTACTGCATTACCTTTTATTATAATCAAATGACGCCCCAATTCACTTTCTCTTAGACAACCGGCTCATATGCACAGAAAAACTTGTCAAACCTGTTAGAGAATAAAAAAGCCTATTCAGGGACCTCACCTAACAGCATACGATTTTAGGTTGAATGGTTCCTTCAGCTGGTATTAGATGGTATAGGTACCTGTTTGACCAAGTGGTCTAGAGTTTTATCCTTGTATCCTCCATTATAACAAATTAAATTTCAGCATCAGGTATGGATGGTGCTTGTCACACTTCAAGCCCGATGGGATTTCACGTGAGGGGGCATGTTAGAGAAATAAAAACCTATTTCAGGGACCTCACCTAACAACTTAAGCTTTTAGGTTGAACGGTCTTTCAGATAAGAGGGTATCAGAGCCCAAGGCCTGAACCTAGAGCCCTCTCATTGTGCTTCCCATATAATCACCTATTTAGTTCAATAAACCCAAACTCCCTCCCTCTCCCCCCCATATAATCCCCTATTAAGTACCGCCACATTGTCCAACGCCTAAAGACCATATGTAGAAACCATTATCAAATTCATAAGTCCCACTGATGCATTGTCCAAGAGATAGAACCCTAGATGCTTCACCCTATTGTCGTTGATCAGCACCGTTTCTGATTCCCTCTGGTTGTGTTCACCGTTCGTCAACAATAGAGATCCTCGATCATATTTATTCTCATCAACACACACTCCATACTCATCCGTCCTAGATTTCATTTTCTTGTCAGCCTCCACCTTGTTCTATTCTCTCTGCCAGCATGAGATCATTAATCGAGCAGAGCCCCAATACTAGGGGTGGCAATTTTTTACCCAATCCGCTGAACCCACCCAACCCGCCCATTTGGTTGGGTTGGGTTGTGGATAACCATTGGGTTAACCACTAAAGATATAAGTATTAATTTTTAGCCTTTTTTTTTATTTTCTTCATTTGAATAAAATAATTTATAAATAATGCATTAATTTTCTATTAATTATTGACTAAAATTAGTTTTGTCTTAAATCAACACACTTCACCCAAATCGACATAAATCCAAATCAACCTGACCCGAGTCTAAACCAACTCAACTTGGTCTAAATATGAACAGACCCGACCACCTCGGTTCAGTTCGTTTGGGTCAGTCAGCCCAGCCCGAACCCGACACGACCCAGTGCATGCTGATCCGGGTCAACCCGAATCCAAAACAAGGCCAAACAGGATGGTTCGGCCCAAACCTAATCCGACCCGAACTCCGCCACGATTGCCTTATCGAGTTTGGATGATCCAGTCCAACTTGACCCAAATCCGAACTGGTCTGATTTACTTCTCCTAACCCGCTTCGGGCCAGTCGGTTCGGTCCCAAAACTGTGCACAAACCTGATATGGGCCGGTCTAAGTCAATCCGCCTTTTGACTGAACCGGTCCGGTCTGGTTTGACCGGATAGATCTGGATCTAAACGGTTCAACCACTCTTAATGTGATTAGCTCGAAGACAATCAAATTAGATAGTTCAAGTTGATCTGACTGGTTTGAACTAAGTGGTTCAGTCAAACACGAAACCTGAACATAGTCAAATGGCTTCGCCGCTTGTGTAAAAATAGCATTCGTATAATGTGATTTGAACCTTCGCCACTTACGTAAATAGCAACTACTATTACCACTAAGCTACGACCAACTTACTTGTCAAGAGGGAGTTGGTTTTTTTTGTTTTAAGTACATAAATATACAATTAATGGGTTTGGGCGGGTTGGATTGGGTTAAAGCGGGTTTGGGTTGAACCCAACCCATTTAATTTTATATAACTGGGTCATTAATGGGTTGGCGGGTTAGATGGGTTGGGTTGAAGCTCAACCCAAACCAAACCCAACCAACCCACCCAATTGCCATTGCTACCCAATACCCATTAGCCAACATGTTCGGGTGACACTAATACCGATAGTAATGACAATGGAGTTGACACAATGGCATCTTGATGCAGAGGTTTCACAGCTTAAGTGCTTGTACATTCTGAAAAGCATAGCGGAGTTTCTTGTTAGTCTTTAGCGTCACCACAAAAAATCCAACCTCCGAACCATATGAACTGCTAGGGATTTTTGTGCACTGATACTTTTTACCCAATTTGGCGGCCACTATTGCAGACCTTACCTGGGGATGTCTATCGCCATTCCTATGTTGCAACAACCCCGTCTCTATTGTCAAGTTTCAAAGAACAAGAAAAGCCATCCTCAAGTCAATCCTACTATGCCAAGTGTTAGTGTGTTACACTGTATTGCATCCATTGGAGTTTATTCAAATTGGCCAGTTGATATTGGTTAAGATCAGTCCTCAACAATGCACCTACTTCCTGATGCATTGCCACCATTGATTCCGTGTTCATTGCCATATGATTTAGCTACAGGATGATACCCTGTTTGTTTGCATAACTTGCTTCCACAATGCTTGAGAATCCCATTAGAAGTTGTTGTTATTTTGTGTCCTATTCTTCACCTGTAAAGCCTGTAATGGTCCTGTATCCATGGTCGCTTGAAAATGAAGAAGACAGGTTGTATCTGCTTGTCTGTTCAAAGAAAATTGCCAACTCAGTTCAGGTCTTTTGCTGGTCAACTTTGGCCCATTTTTCAGTTTGGCCCATGATGGCCCACTTCGGTTCAACAAACCAATTCTGGTTCCCTCTCCATCAAAGTAGCAGGTTTTCCTCATTATGCCATGTCATCATCATGATCAATCATTTATTACTTGCCCCATCATCTTCACAGCAGGACTACTAGCAATATTATCACCATAGTTGGATTGGATTTAAGACACAACCTGAAGAAGTTTGTAGCAGTTTTGTCAAGCACATGAAGATCTTTGATCCCCATGTGTTTGAGGGGGCATATCAGGGCATATTATGTGAGATAAAATTGGGATATGATTATCATGTTATGATAAGATAAGGATAAGAGAGAGTAGGGGTTAGGATAGAGTTTCAATTGAATTAGGAATTCTTAATTTGTAAATACTCACATATTTTCCAGATTCAATCAATACAATGTTAATACCTTCTTCTGATATTTTTCAAAACATCAAGCAAAGCAACATAATAAATCAAAAAAGAAAAAAAAAAAAAAATATATATATATATATATATTGGCTCTTTTTCATTTTATCAATATGCATCTTAACACATGCTACTTGCTAGTTGCGTATGATGTGTTGTGGATATGCATAAATGCAAAGCTATGTATGCAAGAGGCTGTATTTGAGACGAAAATCTATTTTGAATGCAAGCATTTATGCAAAAATAAACAAGTCAAACCTTAACTGAGAAAAACAAAAGAAAAAAATATAAGACAACTATTGGACCAAGGAAATTTATAGCATCATAAAGTTCAGAACATAGAGGAAGCCAAGACTTACAATAGAATCTCTGACAGCCCCATTGTCAAGGGCTGTGATTTCAGCATCTGTAGTGCTCTTCAGATTTGCTTCCTGACTGCCTAAATTTTCTACTCCATCAAAGGTATGATCTTGCATTTCCATATTGAGTTCATTTTGAGGTTCTTCAACAGAAATGGGCATGAGAGAGGGGATACCATCATTTCTCTCTGTCTTCCCCACCACGAGTTCATTCTCTTGCAGATCCCCAGACTCATTTGCTTCCATTCCCCCCTTGGTTCCATCACCAGTAATAACAATTGAATCAGTCTGCTCGCCATTCTCTATAAAAACACCTGGAGATGAAGGGCTTCCATTTTCAATGCGAGTGGATGAATCCGCAAGATGATATCTGGCTTCCAGTGAGCCAACAGCAATTGAGGAATTCTCCCCTATATCAAGGTTGCATTCTTGAGAGAAGTTCGGTAACACCATATCAACAGACTTGCCACCTTCACCTTCCTCCAGAGAAGACACATCCCCTGCTCTTGAAACACCTTCAGATAGAACTGAACTTGCCTCAGTGACATCAACTCTCCCGCCATCAGTTCTATCCATGACAGAAGCATCTTTTTCAGCAGAATGATCATCCAACTTATGCTGTGAGGATGACTCAATTATCAGATCGGATAATGCATTACAATTATCTCCAGCAAAAGGACTAGTTGGTAAAGGAAGTTCAACCCCATTTGTAGGATTATGAGCCACTGACTCAGCAGTTTTGCCATCCAATCTGTCTGTTTCCATTGCAGTCATTTCCCCCAACTGCTCATATTTTGATGGGTCAACTTGAGTCAGGTTAGTAGGACCTAATCCTTGGTCTTGAGCATTATATCCAACAGAATTAGTGGCATGCTCTTGAAAATGCTGGTTTTCTGTCGGTACAAACACCTCATGAGGATTTTCTTCCCCATCATTCACAGCTACTACTGGTTCAGATAAACCTTCCATGCTAGTTTCATTTGTAGGGTCTGCACTTGTAGAAAGCTCTGTATCCTTCACTGCTTCTAAACCAATGTGTTTTGCATCATTTTGAGAAACCGCAAATTCAGTCAGATCATATGTTTGGTTGTGCAAACCAATTAATTCTATTGCAATACCTGAGAAGAAAAAAACAAAATTAACTCACTTCCATTTCAGATCTTAAAGCTCTGCTACATATAAGGAAGCACTTCAAATTTTGTATAGAAGCATTCACTTAAAAAAGAATTGAACCCCCCCAAAAATTATTTTGAAAAGGAATATCAAAGAGTGGAGGTCCATAAAGGTGATAGCATGTAAAAACCAAACTGAAATCCAGAAAACTCAATGTAATATCTCCATTTTGAGAAAAAAAATAAAGGTTTCCACTGACTGTACAACAACTCCTCAAATAAGAAATGGTGTATATAGAGGCAGTTCCTGAGACACAATTTGAATGATCATGCCAGGAAGATACTATACTGGACAAAGTGCATCTGAAGGATCTGGAAACTACCTGATCTATGAATTATGATAATGTTTTTTGAAAGTCAAAAAGTAAACAGTCTAAAGGCAATTTTCTTGATAGTGTTGGATTGAAGTCTTTGTATGTATGAGTATTCGGCTGATAAGAGTTCTTATTAGCCTATACTTAAGTTTAAGTTGTCCTGTACTGGGCCTTTGTTAATGGGCCTAATCCTGTTTAATGTTTTAAGTTGTCTGGGTGTCCCATCACTAATCAGGGGCATTCTAGTAACTTCCT